TCTGCCAGAGGGGCCAGGATACAAAAATGTGAAGAACCCCCAGTCTAGATGACTTTTTAAGTCCTTTTCACATTCTTAATTCTGTGAATTTTAACCTGTTTTTGGTTTTTTCATCTCACCCAAAGCCTTATTGCTCCTGAGTCTGTCAGAACTCCTTAAGACCTCAGGGTTCTCAGTCCATCTCTTATCAGTTCGTCACCCATTCTGTCCTCCCTTGGTCAACCACTTCACTACCACCACCTTCTTCCCTGGATTTTCTTATCTTTTTTGCTTTTACTTCCTGCCTTCTCTGTTCCTACTTCAGGTCAATAAACTCTACCAAAGGAAATCACAGAACCATGGTGAGTTTGCCCACCGAAATCTCTAAATTAGGTTGTATTTATCTCTGACTCTACTTAAAGCTTACCACAGTGCCTATTCCAGATATCCTTCTTTCCCCTCAAGCCCCCATCACCTCTTTCTCGTTAGCTGTCTCATTTTACTGAGCTCATCCTTCATTAGCTTTCCCTCATGTCTCCTTGTCTGTACCTCAAAACCTTTGCGCATCTCTTTCTCCTCCCCAGTCTCTTTGCTGGGTCTAACCTCTCCACCTATACCTTTGATCCCATCCCTTTGGGCTCCTCTCCTGCTTCATTTGCCCCTAGTCTCTCATCTTCAGTCTAGAAACTGGCTCCATCTCCTTCATCAGCAAACTTGCTTAGATCTTTCCTGCCCTAAAACAATACAACAAAAAATAGGTTGCTTCGGCAGGTATTGTCTTCCCAATCACTGGAGGAAGTGGAGGTTGCATTACTAGCTGTCCGAAACAGTGTTGGAGATGAATTTCACAGTTCAGGTACTGGTTAAACTTGTTTACCTCTGGAGGTCCCTTTGATCTCAGAGGTCCTGTGATTTGCTGTGGCTTCCATCCCTGTCATCCCACTGAAATGGATCCTTCCAGAATCACCAGTCATCTCATCCTCCCTGGCCTTCCTGTGTGACCCTCTTAGTTCTGACTTTTCTTTTGGGATCTTTGAGTTGTCCTGATTCTTCCTGATTATCAGTGGAAGACCTCTGTCCCCATTCCACCCTCCCCTGTGGCTTTTTGTCTGGTTCTCTTCTTTCTAGATACGTTCTCTCTTGATGATCTTAACGGACCAAACAGTCCTATCATTGGAACATGCTACAGACCAGCTAAACAAAGGAAATAAAGGAGTAACATGGGAAACATGTCACAAGCCTGGCATAAAGGCAGGACCGAGATGTGATGCTGGCTTCACTTCTCCAGACACCTGCTGCTGCTGGAATTTTCTTGCTGCCCAAAATGGAACAGAAAACCATTTGGTGACTCTAATAAGGAAGAACAGGTTGCTGGTGTAGACATACTGGGTGAGGTAACCACTCTGTATCTTAAGAATTTAGAAGAAAGGCAGATTTTCAAGAGCATACCTGCTGTTCTTCACATGACACTTAATGCCTTTGCATTAATTGTGCCCCACGCCCAGAATGCTCTCCCTTCTTACCCCACTCAGAACTCCTTCATTAAAACCAAGTGCCACCTTTTCCAGAATGTTCCTGGTCTCCCCAGCTGCTAGTGTCTTCCTCTCTAAGGCTCTCTTCCCTCTGCTCTCTATCTTCTATGTTGATTTATGATGTTGTCTTTCCTTGACGACAAAGACCACGTTTGGACTTGCTTTGTAAACCTAGCCCTCAGCACAATGCCTGGCACATAGTAAGTGCTTACTAAGTCCTTGCTGTGATTGATTTAAAAAGCATTTTCAAATGATCAGATATATTTTAATCCCAAGTGCCCATGCATATAACCCAGTAGTAGGATGGCAAGTCCTTATGGCAGAGATTTGTATCTTTAACCTTGTATCTTTAGCTCCTATTTAATGAATGTTTAATCGGTGAGGAGAAGGAAGCTTCATTCCTCCATTGTAGTGCAATACAATCCCAAAAGATGGAGAATTTCCCCTAGACGGGGATGATTCCTTTGGTTCCTGTATCTAAATGACAAGTAGAAAGACTCCACGGTTTCCCATGTGTCCATCTGTTTGGAGAGAAGTGTAGGACCCCTTCATACAATACCAACAAAAGACTGGGGAAACACCCCAAACTCCTGAGATTGTTGCCACCACACACGTAGCTTTGCCTTAATGTCTTTAAGGTATCTGGAGGAGAGAGGATCCAGGGAATTTAACTCCTAAGTCTTGCTTAATTTCATAATTTCTACTTTTATATTCCCAATGTAAGTGCTTTAGTGACCTGGGAATTATTTAAGCTTTGTCTCAACATTCTTCTGGTCCACTTTGTGGATGAGAATGCTTAGGCTCAGTGAGACTGCGATTTGACTACTTACATATGGCGGAGACTAAAATGCAAGTGTCTCAACTCCTAGTCTAGCGCTCTCTTCACCAGTGTTGTTTCCTTAGTATTGTTCTGTATATCTCACTCACCAGCCCAGAAACTCAGTATCTCTTGGGTTTCAATGCCTACAGAATGCCCAGATTCTATAGCCTGGCATTGAAAGCTCTCCACAAATTGCCTTTAGGATAAACTTAACTCTTCCATTTAGCTTTTGAAGCTCCTCACAACTCGGCCCCAATCTCCTTCCTGCTTTATTGTATGTGACTTCCCCTCCAAGCACTCAACGATCCAGACCGGTCTTCGCTCTTTTCCTCACACACAACTCTACACCTCCCATCCCCCATGCCTGTAAGGCCCTCCCTCCTCACCTCCACCTCAGAGTCCTGCTCTGCCTTCCAGATGCAGTTCCAGCATCACTTAAGTGTTACTGTTTCCTGTTGGTGCCCTCCCTCCCCAACTGTCCTACTTCATTTATTCTCTGTATACATGCATAGGTCCTTGTCTTCCTCAATAGAATGTCATCTCCCCAAGAGTGGGGATCTCTTCATTCTTTGCATTTCTATCTCCAACACCTGTCTGTAGCAGGCACCTGGATTCCCAACTTTGTGTCTCAGCATTCCCCTGCAAGGACTTCAGCCAAACTGGTCTACGTTAACACCCTTACATCTCGGCCCCTACAATGAAGGCCCTTCTCTACTCTGCCTACTGAAATCAGACTACTTCTCTGAAGCACAAGGTTCTTTTTTGCTTCTGAACTTCTCTATATCCCTGGCCTTATATGTCTTGCACTTTATATGGTATTAGGAGGCAAGGATTATCTTTTTCTTTGTCTCTTTCTTTGTGGTATCCTTACTCAGTGGAGCTTTAGTTACTCTACTATGTTGTCAATGAAGATGACTACAGAAAAGTAATTCTCATCCACCATCATTATTTTAAGTGTGGAAGGAACAGGACTTTTTTCTTTTTGAACAATTGAGATAGTAGGACTATTTGCTCTTTCACTTGACGCTCCCCCCCAAACAAAGCAATGCCACTTGAGGCCATGAAGACAGTAGCTGACTGTGGGTTTTAAATTGTCTTTTATTAAAAGAAACTTGTGAGGTAAGTGAGACTCTGCAGCAGCAGAGAATATGGACATGCCAGGCAGCTTCCCAAAAGGAAAAGGCAATAACAGTAATTGTGCATGGTCTCTTCCCAAACAGATTCAACGTTATGTAAGCCTTCCTTCTTCCTTTCCTTCCTTCCTTCTCTGTGAAGGGAACAAGGAAGGCAACAAATCCTGCTTTGGCCGAGTAGTGAGGGAGGGTCCCAGACCAGGAGGTCTCTCGTTCTCTCTGAACTGAGCAGCAGATGCAAGCTTAAAGGGCATAAATTTCTTCTTCAGCCTACTCATCCCTGCCCTGCCCTGCCTGCCCTTCCCCTCCATTCATCAGCAGTTTCCAGCTTAGGGCAAATTAGACTGCTTTTTCACATGACTTTTATTTCATTTTTAGAAGAGTGATTTTGGTGCCCAGGCCAACAAGCCATCCTTGGTTTTGCCTCAGATCTTGAAAGTGGCAAGTAGAGACAATAACTAGGATTAAGATCAGTATCAGCCACTGCTTTGACTTTGGTTACTCTATTCGAAATGCAGCTTTCTCCCAAGGAGCTCTCCTTGTTTGTCCTTGCAGTATTACATGAGAAAGAACAGAAACAGACTGGATCAGGTTCCATTTTTCAGTGGGCGAAAACCTGAGGCGGAGTGGTACATGTGTGGTCGGTTATTGGTGTGGTGGAACTCAGGTCTCCCAATTTCCAGTGCTTTTTTTCTATGACACTGGCTGGCAGGCAGAATTTGAAAAACAGCTTCTGGTATCCAAGGGCACAGTTTAAAATTCCTGCATGGCTAAAAGGCAAGTGTGCAAGTTGGCTAAATGAGTAAGAAACCTCTCAGTAAAATCTCTAATATCTGCCACTTGGTCCCAGTGTTAATTAGATTGACTGTATTAGAAGAACACATTCTGAATTCACTACAGTCTTGGAAATTAGACTTCTCAAGAAAGACAATGAACTTTTGGGGTTGAATGTTTTTCAAGTAGGTTTTTTTTAAATACACACATGGGATTGTATATTCAAATTCTTGGTAAATGTGATAATTAAGGAGGCATGATGAAATTAACATTCCATCTATCTGTTGTCTAGTCTAGCTGCCATACTGAACTGACCTCTTTCGATGCTACCTCATCCTCCCCAGGGCAAGGACAGTCAAATCATACCTTGGAGAGAAAAGATTCTATCTAAGTGGCACCTGCCTTTTCTGGGAAATTGATTTCTTTATTCAACTCACTACAAGTTGAATCTGGACTGAAAAAGATGGTCCCTATCAAGTTAGGAGTGAGGGAAGCCTGTGTGTAGTGATTTGATCTAGATATTAAGATCTCCAGCTGGACAAGGACACTTAAAAAAAATCAGGTTTAATTTTTTCATTCTGTGTCTTACTAATCACTGTAACCCCCTGTACCAGATAGGTGCTTAATACAGGTTTGTGGGGCAGCTAGGTGGTGCAGTAGGTAGAGCATCGGCCCTGAATTCAGGAGGACCGGAGTTCAAATCTGGCTTCAGACACATAACACTTACTAGCTATGTGACCCTGGGCAAGTCACCCCATTGCCTAGCCAAAAAAAAAAAACCCCAAAGCAAAACAGGTTTGTGGTATCCTTATGTGAATGAGAGGGCAGCTGAGGGCTTAAAAGAGGTGTGGCGCCTCAACAGAACTCCCAATGCTAACTCTCACTGATATCCCTCCCAACCCAGCACACCCTCTCACCAGCTGAAAATGGAATTGAGAAAAGTGAAGACTTGAGGATGGGATTGGGATAAAATACAAGTTGTGATTAAGCTAGAAATGGGGAGGTTTATTTCATCACCATGGGGGAGGGGTGCAGAAGGGGCATTTGCCTGAAGCCCCTGGTTCACCTCAGGGTCTTCATCCACTGGATTATTAGTTGAGACAAGTAAATGTTGATTTGTGAACAGAGTGAAATGATAACATAACAACCTCAGTTCAAGCAAAACCTGGTCAATACATCCTTTCTACTCCTCTTGCCTCAGTAAGCTTGTATCTGTGTAGCACAGTAAAAATATCTGACTCGCCACAAGTTGAGACACTTCTTGGCTATGGTCCCTATGGAAAGATACTGCCCAGAGAGAGGAGCTCAAGGAAGCAGGCATTAGTTCACTCACTTTGAACAAGGCCCTTCTTTCTCCTTGAAACGGGGCAGTAATTGGGGGCCTACAAAAAAAAATGGGTCTGTTTGCTAGCAGGGTGGTCACAGAAGTAACTTGCACAATCACTGAGACGATGCTGTTGTCCAAGAGAGTTGCTGAAGACTGCTGTAGCATTTAACACTGCCTGCAGGTGCAGGGAAGTATAGTTACTGCAGACAAATGTAGTGGTAATTGTATCTCTCTCTTATCTGGTCAAAACCCAAAAGCTGAAAGCAGCTCTTGGCAGGCCACGTCTGATGACTCAGGGGCTTCTTGCCTTTAGTTCTCCCTGTCTTGGTCATGCTGGACTTCTCGTCTCCCAGACTGGTAACCTTTCCTTTATAGCCCAGGTAATAGATACATTAACATACTTCACTCTATTTGATTCATTTAGGCATTAAAGAGTGAGCCTATGATTCAGAATGAGGGGCGAACTTGACTGTCTGCAGGCTGCATTTCCAGGGAGGGCCAGAGCTTTTTCTGTCTGTCAGCTATAGAGTTAAGGCTCAAAACTGCAGCTTTCTATAAAAACTGCATGGCAAAAGATGTCTTAGGGCTTCTCTTGTTTGTAAACAATGCCAGGTGCAATTAACTCTCAAGAAAAAAGCAGCTGCTGCCCTGCTTCCAGGCTCCCAACACATTCTGGGCTAGGTTAAGATTGGCTGAATAGTGCTAATGGAGCACATAAGGATAGAGAGTTAAGTTCTTTTCTTAAATTAGCTACTTGTGGATAATAAATATCTTTTTCTCCACCCCTCAGTATGCCCCTACAGCTGGCTGAGGAGGCCACAGAAGACAGCAGCACCATAACTGAGCTGTAAATGCTACTAATTAAGGTCATGTGGGTCCCAGTTTCATTGGACAGCTTTGCCAGCACTTGAGAATCACGGTCATCCCCGGTGACCGGGGCACAGCTAAGGGGGCAGTCACGTTAATAAGCAGGGCACTAGAGGGGTGGAAAGCACTTGCTGGTCAGTCACTTCCTTCCGATCCTGATGGCAGAGAGATACAAGAAAAGACAAGCCAGGTACTAGGACTCAGGACTGAAGGAAATGGTGGCAAATGCCTGCTACTAGAAAAGCTAATTACAACTGCATTGGAAATACACCAGAAAATTAACTTGCAACTATCAAAGCTCCAGGCTTAATAGTAAAGACCTCCCGTACCCTGAAATGGCCAGAATTAGCCCCTTCTCTATGGCTTAAGCAACTAGAATTTGTGTTGAGAGACAGTAAAGGGCAGGCAAGTTAAATCCAATAAATGGCACTACAGGTTTACCCTCTGGCTATACTAGTAAGCAGCCCACATAGTCCCTTGGCAGAAGCCCAGAGCCTCCACACGATGCTGGCACTGTTCTTCCCAAAGGCAAGACAGGACAGAGCAATAAGATGAGCCAGGATCTTGGCTTAGCCGGTCTTCCACCCATTTGTTCTGAAAAGATCTAGTTCAGACCCTCTACTTTAAGGATAACCACTGTTCCATTTTCTTGATCACTACTGCCCATAACTCACCCAAGAACTCGCTTAATTTTCAAACTCCACTGATTACTTGTTAAACAAGTGTCTTGGTGCCCTTTAACTAGGGATGACACTCCCTCTAATCCCAGGGCCTGGGGGACAAATGGGCTGGGATCCCCTGGGAGAGGGCTTTCTTCTTTTCCCAAAGCTTGCTGCTTGCACCATTGGCCTCACGCCCTTCCCAGCCCTCCACTACTGAACTGAGGGCACAGGCTCATAAGGCTGGGGGGTGGGGTTGGGAGTAGGAGGTTGGTCTTCTGACTGCCTAGAACTCTGCCAATGAGGAATGGGGGAGGACTGGTATGGGTCAGTTAGGGAATAAAAACCTTGTCTTCATTTTAGTAAGACCTCATGGCATGATCCGTGCCCTTCATTGTCTTCTCATTCCCCATGCGGCAAAAGAGGGAGGCCTTCTCATCTCTGTTAAATAAACATTGTAGGTAGTAATCTCTCTTGGGTTTTTCCCAGCATGTCCCACATAACCAGACAAAGTCCAAGGGGAGAAAAAAAGCCCCATTCACTCCAGTGCTGCATCTGTTCTGTGCTTTCAGGGCAGTGGTCACAGTTGAGTCACAAAAGGCAGCTCTGGCCCTTTTCACTTTATAGAGACAGGGGCAGGGCAGGGCAGGAGCTCTTCCTACGCTGAAGGAGAGTCCATTGTGGAGAGAATCCGAACCACTTCCGCCCGCTGAGTTGGTGAGATGTGTTGGGTTATGTGGATGATAGAATCCATGGCAACCTCAGGGTTGGCCTGCACCAAGCTAAAGAAGAAGGAAGGACGAGAGTGGTGAGAGGTGGAGGACAGGGCTTCTTTGTAACAACATGATATTCATAAACTTCATAACAGTTTCAAGAAAGACTTTTTTTTTTAATAAGACTCCAACTCTCACAAGTTTGTACAACAGCTGTCCTAGTGGATGGAGCAGCTGATTCCCTCCCAACCCAAAAGTGAATTTGGAGGACTAACTTTGAGCTGTTTCTAGTAAGTGTGAAGCAAGGACAGTTGCATGGAGAACAAGACTTTGGTTTAGTTACAGGATGATAAAACGTAGGAAGGCCTGTAGTACTCTTGTGAACTGGTGAAAAAGACACAGCTATAATTCAAATCTATGCATGTGTACTCTGACCTTTATTTTACTATTTAAGGGAATGACAAAGCTCCTATCCCTTCTCCCCACCCCACCCCCTTCTGTCTGATTGTGTTGCTGTGCATCTTTAACAACTCATCAATCAGGGTTAGCAAACTTTTTATACCAACTGGGGAAGAAGCTTTGTCCATTTTCTCCTTCAGGGGAGCTCCCTCCCTGCTGGCCTCACCTGCGGATCTGCTTGAGGATGTAATCTCTTGAAATGTACTTGATGTTTTCATCAACCACCGAACGAAAACCATCTTCCTCTGTCAGCTGCTTCTCCAGCCACTCCACCAGGTCCTTGTTGTTGTCCCAGACATAAGCCTGCAGACAAATGGCTGGTTGTCAGGAAGCAGGTTCTAGGCCAGGCACGGGGGCCTTGCTGAACTCATGCTGACTGATGGTACTGTCACAATGTGCCTGTTCCCCCTGCTACCATTCCTGAAGCTTAATTACCAATTACCTACGAGTGGATATAAAATATTACACCAAAGATCTAGGAGATTCCCTTCACAGATGCAGGAGGTAATAAACAATTAGCTCAAGTCAAAAGATGATTTACTCACTCCCCCTTTATTTCTTTTAGTAAACACAAATGATGCACGTTCAAAGCTCTGACTGGAGCTGCCCACCGAGATCACCCATGCCTACATGCTCACTACGGCGGTGATTCACAATGTACTTACTCTCTGTCGAGAGAAAAATGTGGAGGAAAAAGAAGAAACAAAACCAAAAACCATGGGGCTTTTCTCTGAGATCTCATCTGCACTTCCTGACGAATCAGCAGCTGCCCACCCACATCCCAGTTCTAACTGAAGAGCCTCGTAGCTGCAGGTCCTGACCTTGCTGGTACCAGTTCCTCTTTGCATCCCACTCAGAGAGCTCGTGTTCCTGCCCCCATCGTGTGAGTCCGGCCTGTAGTGTGGAGCCCACCACCCGGTTGGACATCTGACCCTCATTTTAGTATCGATGGGAGTGTCAAAAGAGGTCAAGGCACCTACAGCCATGAATATCACAACAAGCCACTTCACTCTTTTTTCTTTGCAAGATCATTTAGCTGGATATTTGCTAGGTAGTTGACTACATAATAATTCAGGAGTGTGTTAGAAGCCTATTAGCCTTCTCGTTGCTCTCTTCTCCTCTCATTTTCTTTACAAACCATTTAGGAATCATTTTGTTAATGGTTTCCGGAAAACCAAGTACCACCATTAGGGCTCATTCATATTTATGTCATTTTGTTTGGGTAATTAAACACAAAGCTTGTCATTTAAAGGTGCGCTATCCTTCTCGGTTATCACTAACGAAGTCAAAGTCAGAATGACAATGAGCTAAGCACTATAATTCAATAGGTGGGTGCATTTAGTGAATCTCAGTGGCTTTGAGACTAGAGATTTGGCTGTGAGATTCCTGCTTACATTAACTCACTGAACACCAGGCTATGAATTTTACTCTATGGCCAATATCAACGTCACTGCCACGAGCCACAGAGAAAAGGTGCTAGAAACTGTGAGGTCTAGAGTATTTCTTTGCTGGCCATTTATTGTTTTATTCTTAAACAGTCCCTTATCTAGCCCTCACTCCCATCTCCGATGGCTGAGCAAGAGCATGGTATGTGTGTTTGTGTTTAAATTACGCCTCAGAACTCTTCCAAATTTCTAAAACATTCCATCTAAAATAGTAGGTGCTCTGCAGGTCCCTAAGCCAACATTTTACGTACAGCATGGGACACCCTAAAATCAGTGCTGTCATTTTAACTCGCGTCAGTTTCTTCCAATCAAAAAACAAGATCATTAAGGAAACTTTTTTTTTTAACAGATTGTCTAAACTCCCTGAACCTTATGGCAGTGTAGTCATCATGGAGAGAGACCAGTCCTGCTGATGACCTTATGATTCTAGTTGTCACTTAAACCAGTTTTGAAAAACTGGGCTAAAAGCAGCAGTCTTACCTTCCAGGAATAGTATGAGAACTAACAGATAAGAAGTGTGAAAGTACTTGATTTTTTTTTTTAATTATAGGGATAATGACAAGTACTGGACCTGTGATTTCACTGACATAGGGAATTCTGGGATGAGGAATCTTCCTCTACCAATGCAGGTTAACACCTTTTCTGCAGCTTCTCCTTTTATAGAGCACTGAGAGGTTAAGTGCCTCCAACACACCATCAGTCTGTGTCAGAGGCACAACCAAACCTAGGCCTTCCTGACTCTTACAGTCAAAAATTTGTACATTTCTTGATGCTCCCTTTAATGTTTTCTGGACAGGATCTAAATACAAGCTATTTGGCTCCTCTCCCCTTCCAACATTACAATAGTTGTAGCATTACCGCTTACATTTTCCTCATGTAACTCCTGTGTCTTTATGGTTAGAGAATGTTTTACTGACATGAATTCATTCAATCTTTTTTCTTTTTTTTAATTAGGCAATTGGGGTTAAGTGACTTGCGCAGGGTCACACAGCTAGTGCAGGTCAAGTGTTTGGTCTGAGGCCAGATTTGAACTCAGGTCCTCCTGACTTCAGGGCCGGTGCTCTATCCACTGCGCCACCTAGCTGCCCCAACTCATTCAATCTTCATGAAAACCCTTGAGGCAACAATAGCATAGGTAGCACCATCCTCATTTTGCAGATGAGGAAACTCAGGCTCTAGTGCATGAACTGTTTCGGCATGCTAGCAGTCGAAGCGTTTCAAGGTTTCCAGAGTGTGTATGTGAAGACGTGCTCTCTCACTGGGACCTCACACCACCCTAGTGAGGAAGGAAGGCTAAGGATTCTCCCCACTCCGCAGATGAGATGAGATGAGTCCTGGGCTCCTGACCTCAGGCTTGGTGCTCTCTCCCTCCACCTAACTGCCTCTAGGGGGCTCTTCCTCAAGCACAGATTGAGTCACATCACTTCCACGGTTTGCTGTTACCTCCAAAGTAAAATTCAAACTTCTCTGCCTGTCACTCAAGGCCCTCCACACACTGATGCCAACCTACCTTTCCAGGTATTCCTTACATGATTATTCTCAATCAGGCAACAAACATTTACTAAGTACCTGCTATATGCCTAGCACTGTGCTGGGTATTCAAACACAAAGGTGAAGCCATCTCCACTCTCAAGAAGTGCAGGCTTCTTTCTCCAGCCCTTGAAAAGCTACTTGACTCGTATCCCTATACCGAGAATGATCACCTTCCTCAATTTCCCATTCTCTAAAGACAACAAAGACCACTTCCCTCATAGAGTTTTCTCTGATCCTCCTGGCCAGTAATGAGCTCCCTTCTGGAACCTTAGAGGACACCTTATTTTCTAGCTCTCTAATGACATTTTCTGTGTATAAAATACTCTATACACACACACACACACACACTCATACACATGTTGGTGTGTTCCTACTGGACTGTAAACTCCCTGAGGGCTGGGACTGTCCTGCTGAAATTTTATCTCTTCCTTAACACCTACCAGAAATGCACCCAAGAGGCCCTAATAAACAACTGTTGTTTGATCAGTCTTTTCCACACAACTTTTTCTTAAGCTAATATAACAATTCTTCCCAAGCTGTCTCATGCTTTATAAATACAACTTCTGGTTTCCTGATATCCTACCTACATACTGTCACTTAAACTTTCACATTTCCATCATCAGTATTTCAGACTTTTTTTTCCCCCCACTGGTCTGGGATTCCAGTGCATGCCCCCTGCATACAAAGCCAAATGCTTATGAAGATTTCATGGGAGGAAAAAAAAAATCAGTAAATGCTTCTTGGGTTTCAGACCTGAAAAGAGCTAGGTTTACCCAAGAATCCCAAAGCTTTTAGTCTAGAAGAATATTTAATACTCTTATTAATCATTTTTAATCCGTTTGCTTTTAATTAAGTAACAGCATGATGCTTTCCTATCAACATATGCCAGGGAACAGATTAATTGTGGCTTAAGATAACTCTTCTTGATTGGTGTAATGTATTAGCTAACAAGATGCCTGCTTGTAAAGATGCTCAGGCACTACCTTGGAAAGCTTGCTGCCCTCTAGAGAAAACAGTTCTTTCTTCCCTTTTTACAACCCCAGAGTGTTGTGTTTAACTTGGACATTTTTCTTTTAAAAAAACAAAACAAAAACAAAAAGACCAAAACCAAACTCAGAAACAGGACTGTGGTATACCTCGAGCTGTTCCTCTAAGGGTATCCCTTTTATAAGACATCAGCGACATGTTTTAAACAGGAGGCAATCACTGGATATGGTTGGTTGGATCTTCACCGCCAAGCTGACAAAATCTGACTTCAATTCCTGGCCAACGTCCAAGACATAATAACAGTCTTAATAAATTTCATTTCAAACAATGACCAAAAAGTGACCTCACGCACCCCTCTGATTGAGGAAAGATATGAACGGGGTTTGTGATGAACATCAGTTTCCCAGTATCATGGAGAAGGAAAACTGAAAATCCACTCAAAAGTAGGGTCAAGCACAGCCCCAAACTGCAAACATCTGGCAGAAACCTTTTATTTTTTGGTCTGTGACAACAGATATCAGATTAAACTGTTTCCCTATTGAATGAGCTAGTTGCTTTGGCCCTAGGTTACTAGTACCCCAGTTGTGATCCCACTTGCAGGGGAGGCAGAACACCTAGAGTTTAGTTTCAAGTCTATCAACATGTGTCTGTAGGTGACATTTCACCTCGAGTCTCAGTTTCCTCCTCTATAAAATAAAAGCTGCTGGACTAGATTGCATCTAAGGCCTCTTCCAGGTCTGACACATAAAGACTATTCTCAATACCAATTTAAAGGCAAGTGAATATCATGACAGAAGGAATAAACACTAGGTCACTGGCAGCATGGCAGTGGTCAGGCCCCATAACACAGGGTCTTGGAACAGAGATTGACTTTGTTTCATATTAAAAATAATCTTTTTTAAAAAACTGACCACTTTAAATACTAATGAAATACCAATGAATTACTAAAAATAATCCCATAGGTGCTACAAATGTTGAACAGACGGTTATCTGTAGCTATCTCCTTGTGCAGTAACAGATAAGTATCTTTTAGAACACTATTCGACCTCACTAATTGTTTTAGTCATTAGGATATCTTATTAAATCTAAATGAACTATTTGGAAAGTTTCATTCCAAGTATTACTTAAATAGGATAGAGGATAAGCTCTCCTGGCTAAGTCAATGCCCAAGTCCAGGACATTAAATGGTAAGTACAACTGTGCCAATAACTCTAACACATGGGGGCACCTGGCCCTTCCTCTCCAATGAGTGAAATTTAGAATCACAGAAGGGGCCTTCCCCTTCCTTACATTTTACAGATAATGAAATTGATGTTTGGAAGGGGAAATGATTTGCCCCAAATTATACAACTAGTTTCTCTGCAAATAGTGAAGCAAAGGTTTTGTGAAAGCCAGGAGAAGAGAGATGTGGGAGTGAGACTGACAAGGCTCTCTTTCCTTGTCAACTTAGCTGATATGGTTCTTACTACTCCATACAGGGAGCTGCAGCTTTCTAGTTCATCTCTCCTTCCTTCATTTCCCCTAATCTTCACCCCCACCCCAGTTTCTAAGGACAATAACACAATAGTCCAAGCCTTCCCTACCTGCCCCAAGAACCATTTGATTCCTTTTGCTTTCCAGATGAGAGCTGGCATAAGGTAACTGGGCAGTCTTCTGGGCAAAAAGGAATTATATGGTCTTAGTCCAGGATGTCTTGATTCACTTTTTTCATAACTCTAATGTGGGGCCATGTAGTAGAAAGAAAAGCTAGTCCTAGATCCAGCTGTCATCATGTGTCTTTGGGCAAATGGTCTTTCTGTGAAATGGGAATAAGTACCACCAGCTATTCTACTGCTGGAAAGCAAAGGACATAATGGGTGTGTTATTATCCATTTCTAAAACAGGTTTGCAATAATTAGGAATGGCAGCATCTCACTGCAAGTAATAAGGAAAGAGAGCAGCTAACAATAATAAATGTGACCTTTCCAGCACTAGGATATAATCCCCTACCTGATGGCAACAGACTTCTCCAAGGAAAACTAAAAAGTTAAACTTCCATTTGAGTATCACTGCATTTTCAAATTGTCTCACTACACAAAGGCTGGGGGGTGGAGGGGGGGGGGGAGTCTAGGAAGAGCCAACCATGCAGGCCCCTGAGATGCTAGCCTGTCCCCACCCTGCTCTGGGCACCTGCTGCTCACCTGCTGCCTGCTGTGCCAAGAGATTTTTCCAACCACTGAAGAAAAACACAAGACAAACTTGAATCATATAAGGTTTAGGAAAAATTATCCAAAAGCCATTCCTAAGCACGTGGGATTTAGAATTATTTGCCACTTTCTCATATTCCTCCTGAGGAAGTAGAAACCATGTTAAAGCATCCTCAAAAGGACACTGAAGATTTCCTTCCCCGCATCAAAGTGCACTCTCAGCATTTAATTTCTTCTGAGGTGGTAGGATGTAGAAGGTGGTTCCGATCACTAGCCCTGACCCTACTCAGTCATTTGTCCTTCCTTGGTCCTGTTTCTGACTGTCTATCCCCTGCCTGTCTCCTAGGACCTTTTCTCTTCCCTTTGGGTAAACTTCAATTTAAGTTCTGGCTCAAACCGACCAGAGTGGGAACTTTAGACTATTTCAGCATCTCGTAGATATAGATGAGAATAAGGGATGGTGGAGGTGAACAAACAGAGGGAAATCTTCATTTCCCTCATCTCCTCTCCCAAGGGGCCTTCTTGCATTGGCTACACTGGCTTCCATGTCCTTGAACTCTAAAGCTGTGTACTCACAAGCTGGGGGGCTTCTTCATCATCGCTAAGAGAGATGAAAACCACCTCTTTCTTGAGATCGTCAACCCTCCAGAGGAGAGAGCTCTAGGGAGCATCTGAAGCACCCCTCTGCTCCCATCATGCTCACTTCTAGTGCCTAGTGAAGCCATGCTCTTCCATTAGTGACTAATGCGGTGGGAAGGCAAGGGAGACCTTTCCTGGCAACAAGCACACACTCCATTTACCTAGCTGGCCACTCTTAACTCGAGAACAACCTCGATTTTACACTTGCCTGGCTTTCAATGCCAACTTGCACTAGAAGCTGCTAGCAGACATGAAACAATTGTTGTATTCAATTATGATGCCGAGTGACCACAACCTGAACTGGGAATCACACAATGGCAAGCTTCCCCATCATCACACTGGGAATATTTATACACAGTGGCTTTTCCATAATTGCAGCTTAATTATTTTAAAACTAACTAGTGCCCTTAATTAATTATTAAAGCAGAAGCTCTAAACTACCCCTCCTGTCCAGATGTAACATCTCAGTGTTTCATCTTGAAAATGTGTTAGCAGACCAGACACTCTAATGATGGACAGCATCACTCTAATGATGGACAGTGTCACTCTAGCCATGAAAAAAGGTGTAACATGTGGAAAATGCTTTGCAAACAGAAGTGCAATATAAATATTAGCTATTACACACACATCCACACCCACCACCACCAGAAGAATCTAGGCAGAAGTCCCAGTTTTATGGAACGGGATACGTCCAGAGGCACCATCTGTTGTATGTATGTATGTGTTATGTATATATGTTATATCTATATGTATCTAAATATATATATAGCTATCTCAACTCAACTTTCCCAAGAAAAGGAAAGGGATCAGAGCAAAGGACAAGAGCTAGTAGTACCTTATCTCCTAGTCCTGTCTCGAGTTTAGAACTCCTTGGGAGCTAAGCCAGTCAGCATAAAGTTATTCATAATAAAAGATACCTGCTTGTAATAAGATATTCTCTTAACAAAGTATGTTTTCTTTGGGGTCTCAACAAATGGACACCCAGTTCACATACTCCCTAAGAAGAGATAAGATTTGTAACACGTTCCAACCTAAAAATATAAAGTGAGGGAGGTTTTGAGACCACATCATTTCCTCCAGAACAGGGGTTCTAACCTTCTTAACCTGAGGACCACGGACGCCCAGGAGATAGATTTCAGGGTGTCTGGAAACCTGATGGAAAAAGTTCCTTCTTTATTCTCCCCTAACCTCTAACTGAAATTTAGCATTTTCTTCAGTTATGAATGCAGGCATCAAACATCTCCCGAGAAGAGGTCTGCAGGCTTTGGTACTGCTCTAGAAGGCCCTGGCTTCCCTGTACCAGTAGCTGTAGAAAAACCTGGGGAGGCCACAGAAGACAGGCTCCCACTGCCCTCAAGTGGAAGGAGAGGGCAGAGTTCAAGGGCAGACTCCAAGACTGCTCCCTCTTCTCCTTCCTCGTGTCTGGGACTGGGGCAGCTTCTCACCTTCACTGTTCCCTCCACCTCCACAAACCAGCGCCTAAGCATGGCCTGGATCTGGCCGTCTGTCAGCTCCGGATTGGCTGCGTGGATCTTCTTCTTCACTAAGTCCTCCAAGAGCAGCCGCCTCAGGCGCCAGTAGAAGAAGGTGCGGGATGTTTTCCAGTCTAGAACGTCCTGTGTGAAGGGAGAGAGAGAAGTCATTCCAGCACCTGAGCTGGTCTTGTTTCTCAGTTACTCTGTCATAGGCAAGGCAGCACACTCAAGACATGAGGCTGGTGGTGAACTCTGTGTCTTCCAATAAACATTCAGGGAAGGAAAAGCAAGAATCTCTTACCATTGCTGAGAGAGGAAGCAGGCTGATAGCTTACTAGAAGCCCAAGACACCCCCATCACCATATCCCTGCCAGCCAACTTTGTGTCATCAATGTAAAACCTCAGTCCATTCCTATCTCATCCCAGGACAGAGTGAAAAATGTAGCCCTGTGCACACCAATGAGCCAAGCAAACACTTGACCGACATATGGCAGAGACATTCCAGCTAAGAGCCTGTACAGCCAGAGAAACAAATAGTGAGTAATTGGTTTTGAGTAGACATGGCTAAACTGCCTTGCATGCAGATTAGATTTGAATTAGTGGCTGCTCTCCTAAAGCTCCAAGCCCTGAGGCACCCTACAGCACGAGGGGCTGAGGCAGCAAGGTAGCACAGTGGAAAAAGTGCTGGGTCCAGAGTCAGGAAGACCTGGGCTTCAAATCCAGCCTCAGATACTTCCTGGCTGTGTGATCCTTGGTAGGTCATTTAACCTGTTTGCCTGTTTCCTTATCTGCAAAATAGAGATAATAATAGCATCTACCTCAACAGGATTGATAGGAGGATCAAATGAGATAATATTTGCAAAGCTCTCTTGAAAACTATGTAAAGACTAGCTATTAATAATATCATCAACATGATCATTTCTTAGTTCTGACGTTGGCAGAAATGACTCAATTTCCCACCTTTTTAAAATAGGGAGCTAATTCATAAAGTATAAAGTGCTTTATAAGTATGCTCAATGTAGAAGGGGGGAACCACACCAAAGACCCTGAGATCTATATAACCCACACAACCTGACAGGTCTCTCAGCAGACAGTGCACTCTTCCAGTTCTATCTTGCTGTTCTGTAGTGAGCGTGTGGGCCACCTAGGTGACACCCACATCCATGGGTTTCTGATAAGTTAGGAGAAAGGCAGCCATCATACTTACATTAATGACACCCTTTTCCTGCATCCCGCCCGGTGTGTCATGCAAGTCAGCAAACTGCACAGCTACCTGGTGGTAAATGGGAATGAGGAATTCTTCCCGTTCCTTCAGTTTGCTCTCCAACTCCTTCCGCTCAGCTGGGCTTAGCTCTGGGGTGCCTGCAATTAGAGAAACCTGCCCATCACACTCCATGATGATGAGGAATCTCTGCATTAAATCAAAGTCACCCTCGCCTCCTTTCCCTGAGATTTGTTTGGCAGAATTTATATTTCTTTTTAGAGTGCCAAAGGTAGTATATTCTTTAAGTCAGGCAGCTGAAACCTTATAGCCCCTTGGGTCTTCTAAAGGAGACACAGCAGCAAAGGTCATCACCTCTGTATCATAATATTTGAAACTACTTATTCTTGTCCTCCAGAAATCATTTAAAATCAGAATTCCTTCTTGTACTACAATGTCTGCTCAGGCAACAGCTTTGTGGGGCAGCTCTCTTGGCTACCCTAGGTTGGGTCTACAACTGGTCCTTGGTTGAGATATGCCCCCATCGTAAGCTTGCCCATACTACCATCCATCAACAAGCATTTATGCTCAGTCACTGTGCTAATCGCTGAGCAGAGAAAGATAAAAACGAGTAAGTGTGCCCTCAAGGAGCTTACGATACTAGGGGTGCAAAAGAGATACAATACAAAGACCTGCACTTCCTAAACTCATGAGACTAGACTGGTTCTGTTGTCCATGAGAGTAGCAGTCACATATTGCTGAAGAATGAGGAAGTGGCCTGTTTTTTTTTTAGCTGAAGCCAATTCTCTCAATGCCTGCCCCAAACAGCCACCAAATTTTATTCTGCTCTGAACAACTCTTAAATTTGCAGGTACATTATCATATTATAGGCACTAATCTCCCATTTGAAAACTTGTGACTTAAATTAACACAACCCAATAAAATGAAAGCAAGATAAGCGTATCTGGTGGCAATTCTGTGTATTAGCTACTATTCACTAGGTCAACTCTTGATCAGAATGATAAAGTCACTCTTGCTACTGGGCCAAGAAAGAAAAAAACAGACTCTACCCACACCTGACAGCCTAACAACTCTTCCAGGGACCTGAGCTCTGCAAGCACAAGGTTCTATGATGCAACAGTATGGGATGGGGGTGGGGGGTGGGGGTTGGAATCTCCTATAAGGAGGAAAGCCTCTTCAGAAATCAATGCCATCCTAGTAGAGGTTTGTGCTTTTCATCTTAATTAATCTCAGAATGGGGCCTACAATCAATACTGAAAATTTAGCCACTTGCCTAGTGTGGAAGGTTGAGTTCGGCTGAAGGAGCCATAGGTGACAGCTCCCAGCGTCAGAGAAGACCCGAGGTACTTTGTCACCGAAGCTGACAAATAAATACATGCCCCCAGGTGATGGGATGCGTGAGAGAAAAGTCTCTTTCAAGCATGCCTGTCTGAAGAAAGTCCTTGTTGTTTATGCTACTATGAATCATACTCCATGAACAGCCTTGGGCTGCTAAGCAAGCCAGTTTGATGAATAAACAAATGGTAGCAGAACAGAGATGGATCTATAGGACATGGTTCCATTTTTCTGTGGGGTTTTTGTTTCCCAAAGTTGACTTTTTTTCCCCTTAAAATCAATGACTTTTTAAACTATGGTGAAGAAAGCCCAGGACTAACAATTCTTTCTTGCTCTGTGTGAGGGCAATTAATGGTCTTCTGCTGTCAGCCCCAGCCTGAGCATAGGCAAATGGGTTGGATTGAGCTAAATCCTGTAGCAGCTTTCAAGAAGTAGAGAAATCTACTCACTTTGGCAGATCTGAACTCAGCCCACTTAGGGGAAATTTGAGACAACTGTCCTGCCAAATCTCTGAGATGTGACTTTCTAATTTAAAATCCTCTTGAAATAGCTGCCATTGCCTGACTATTTATATTCTGAGGGCAAACGAAGAACGAGAAGCCAAGATTTCTCCTATACTACCTGTACTCATACAGAATGAGTCCTGAAAATAGTTTCACTTTGATTTTACAAAACAAAAACATGAAACTGAAAACAGCCATGCCACGCAACCCAATGAAGAGGCCGATTTCCAAGGCTGCATCTGATGTTGAGACAAAAGCTCCCGTGGAATCTCCAACTCATGGGCCAGGTCCCATTTGTTAGGTAGGCCTTGAAGAACTCTGCTTCTGCTCCTACGTGGTTGGGGATGGGGAAAGAAGATGGCACAGGTCTTCTGAAGGAGTGTCTTCCTTGTTGTTGTCTTCACCTGATAACCACACAAGGAGCCCATAACCACTTATACTGTCTTCTTTGTGAGGGCACACCTAACTCTATGCCCTTTTCCTTAAGTGACAGCACTTTCCAAGGAGATTGCTGTCCAAGGCCCTGCTGTAGAGATGGAAGGCTGTGGCACAGGTGGGATTTTGAGGGAGTCTGGCCTTTTCACCAGAAAAGGGGCAAGATGTGGACCCCACCCACATAGGAAGAATCCAAAGGGCTTCCATTGGCAGATTAGTCAAGCTGCTCTGTGAGCAGAGATTAAGGCTTTTCAGAGATGATTGGCTCCTCATTTAAGTAGGTTTTGCCAGAACATCATTATGGTTTTACAAAACAAAGATGAAAAAAGTTCAGATTTCATAATTTCATCAGGCCAGAAGACCAAAGGGAATGTATTCCCTAGTGAGATTATACATCCCCCTCAATCAAATGCCTCTGACCAACCAGGGCTTTATGGCCTATCTCAATCAAACTACCAAAGTGAAAGAAGGCCAGAACAAAAGAAATCTCCAAAAAGCACAAGTAACAAAAACAAAGATTTGATTGTGTATGTGTGTGGTTTTTTTTTTTTAAAGAAAAAGAGATTTAAAAAATAATAAATTTTACTTTCCAAAAAATAAAAGGTTGCTCTTAAATCAGGATACTCCTGTATTCCATACTGTATTCTACTCTCTCCTTGTACCAGTAAAGCAGCCAGCCCCGTAATGATTTAGGGGAGATTAACAAATATGTCAATGTCCATTTTCTGCTTAATTTAAAAGCAACGTCTATAAAGATTTTTGACTTCTGAACCCTGTTCTCCTGAAAGAAAGAAGGTAAGAATGAGGAGGGGGATAAAGAGTGATTATCCTATCATTGATCGTTTGTCAGAAGCATTTCTTATTCACTGGGCTATTGTAAAAAGCTAAGCTCTCGATCAATCCTGTAAGCCCCCTGCACAATTAAATATCTTGGAATGGTTTTCTTTCTTTTCCAGCCAGATCTAGGAGCCTCAGGGTTTTTAGGAAAGCAAGTTTTGTGTGTGCATTGGGGGTGGTAAAGCTGGCAGGGTCAAAAGAACACTCAATGGAGAGAAAAGTCTCTTTTAGAATCCTGCTCCCAAAGATTGATGAGAATGGTAAAAAGAGGGAGGCGTAAAGAGAAAATGAAAAAAAACCCACATTATTCCCCCCCCATCTCCCTACATTCTCCCACCCATACAAACTTAGTCCTTCAATTTAAAAGTAAATGCAAAGAGTGGAACACAGAACAGAAGTTGAGCAGATGTTCATACCCCAGCAGCTCTCGAGGCACCCCTGGATTAGGAGGCTGTGGCAGAGTTCCACTTATCCATCTACTATCATCTACTGTTTCATCCTCATTACATCCTCCTGGATGAGGTTAATGTTTGACTCCTGGAACAGGAGTCTCTCCCCAGAGGAGCAGATCTGAATCAGCGTCAAACTGAAAAGAAGTGTTAACACTCCACAGTCACTCAATTCACCACGGCATGGAGCACCAGGACACAGGGCCCTCAAAGGCCATCCAGTTGCTGTGTGACCTTACAGAAATCATGCTGCCTCCCTGGGCTGGGGGCTCTAGTCTACATAGGAATACAGTACTTACTGCTGTCAAAGAAGCATTTTGTAAAAGATTCTGATTTTGACAGATTGCATGAGTACACCCAAGCCTAATTTTAAACTCCCATCTCAAATGAGGAATAAATTAATTTCTAAGTTTTGAAAGTAAGGTACAACAAGTACTGAAGTTCATACTTTGTGAAGATTTTAGTATAATTCTTTATTTTAAAGGATTTCAATATAGTGGAGGGGAAGATAGAAAAGAACCTGTTTCTAGACATACAAAGAGTGGCCCTAATTTTGTACAATTTCTGTGTTCTTGAACAACTTTGCATAAATGAAATATTTTTAAATGCCCTAAGAGAGCTACTTAAAGGAATCCTCCTGTGAATCCTCTGGTAAAGGAAATAATTCTTACATAATGGGAATAATCTCTCCCAATGTATGTGTTTTATAAATTCAAATTTTCCTATATCTGCTTTTCTTCAAAGTGGGGCACACCTGAATAAGCATAAATGTATTTTGCATGTTAATTTTTTCACAGGGTATCTGGGAATCCTTTCAAGAAATTTTTAACCCAAAGGTTCTAAGTAAAATGTTGACCCAGGCCAGCAGGTTCTGGTTCTCCACTGCTCATCTGTATAGTTGTTTCTAACAAAAACACAAAAGCCTGCACACAAGGGAATAAAACCACAAAGCATATGCGCCTCTTCTCACATTTCCAGAGCTCTCAAATGAAGCACTTGCCTTGTCCTCACCAGTCTGGCCCGCGTTGTTCCAAATCTCATTCCAGTCCAAGTGGGTTCTTCCCTATTCCGTGATCTCAGCATGCCTTTGCCCAGGCCACCCTCCATGACAGGAATACAACCTGTTCCCTACACTTTGGAGACTCCTCTGGGGCTTCCTACCTCAAGGATGAGTTCCAGCACCACTTCTCATGCAAGGCCTTTCCTGGTAGCTGGGAGATTAGTGCTCTTTTCTTTTTGAAATGACTTTGGATTAACTAGTCTGGGCCCTGATAAAAGCCCTCACTAGCTATGGCTCCCCCTAAGTAAGGCACCAGCATCTCAGTGAGTAGAAGGTGGGGGGTCTGGCAGTGTCCTGTGATGACAACCTCCAAAAGGCACAGAGAGAGCTAAAGAGATGATGGAGAGTATGGTACTGAAGAACCATGGACCACCAGTTCTTGGGAGTGAGGCATGCATGCCCTGATGCTTTTACAAAGAACTGGACTAAAATACCCTTTCCCCCAGAAAACATTACCTACTGCTTCTACTCAGATTGCACTGAACTTCTGAATCAAGGGATGATATAGTATCTAAGCTGCT